CATTCTTCTCTAATATTTCTTACCAAAAACCCATATTTTTCTTCAGTGCTATAATACACTCTGCTAAAAAGAAAAAGCAAAACATTTTTCAGTGTCAGATAAATCATGGCCGGTAATTAGTAAATGAAATTTCACTAAAAGTTTCTAGAATTATGCTGGTTTCTTGTTATAGGTGCTACTGCTTCCTCACAGTTACTTCATTTTTTTTTTTTCTTTCGGAAAGGCAGGAGGAAAGCTGAAGTTGGAATAAACATCCGCAACCAGTGTTGAACCATCCAGAGATTCACACTACTACATCTATTTCATATGTTGTTCCCAGCTGTTAACCTAGAAATTATTTCTGAGCTTATCAAAATTAAATTTCCCCAATATGTACCCTAGATTCTAACCCTCTTCATTTGCATAAGGACATCAATCAAACAACATTTTTATTCCCTGCAACATCATGAATTTACTTTTTACTAAAGACTATATATAAAGGCATATCTGCCCAACTACAGCTATAATTATTTGATTCCTCTTGAGTGAAACTTGCTTTGAAAAATAAAATAATTATGTAATCCCTCTAGTATCAATTCTTTCCCCATATCTGCCTAACTCAACATCAATCTAACTTCACCACATTATAATACCAGTGAATCAGTGTTATGAAAACCAATGGACAAATAACAATATTCACTTTTTTCTTGATCTCCCAGGAACATTAGACTCAGGCCCTCAATTCATTCTTATCACTTCTATTCCATGTCACTTTATTCTCTTAGTTTTCCTTCTAATTCAATAGATATTCCTTTTAAAACACCTGTATTGTTTTCTCCTCTTCTGCATAAACTTATATTTTTGGACTGTCTCAGGACTGGGTCCTTGACCGTCTTTTCTGTCTGCATTTATTCTCTTGGAGATTAATCTCTGTACCATGACTTTAAGTAACATCTATATAATCATGACCTTTCATCTCTAATATAGACATTTCCAGACTTGTATATAGACATCCTTACTTGAGCTTTGCCTAATAAATGTGCCAAAATGAACTCCTAACCTACCCTGCCACTACCCAGCATCCTATCCATCTCAGTTGATGGCAAAACTGTTCTTCAAATTGATTATGCAAAAAATTTGAAGTTACTGAGATTTCTTACTTACATTTACAGCCCAACAACCTGTTTTTAATTGGATTCTGTTTATTGTCACAATATGCTTATACTAAGATTGAGACAAGAGAAAGACAGAGGAACCTAGGACACTGTTATCTTCATAGAGCAGTTTCACCAATCCATACAGGTTCTGTCTGAAAAGGTGAATGAGTAAAATATACCCTGAATTTACTATGCTGTTGTGTGTATATATACATGTATATATGTGTATAAGATATATATATGTATGTATGTGTATAAGATATATATATATATATCTTATGCCATCAAATCCAATCTTAATTGAAACAGAGAATTTTCTGTGCAATATCCAGTGCATTATTTCATAAACTTTTTACATGTCTCATTGTGTCCTTTAGTAATAGAGTCTTGCTTTTCTCTATTATATTCTACTACAAATCTTATAAAACTACCCCTGGAAACTTTATAAAGCCGTTGTTATGATTGTGAATACATGTATTTTTCTTCTATAATGTATCTCCTATTTAGAGTTTAAAGTAGCTAGTAGTATACTAGTAGTATACTCATGGTTGCTTTGCTTTGGCTTAACCCTTCAGCCAAATATTCAATATTAAGTGAATGATAGCAGTATTACTTTTAACTTTAAATATATTGTTTGTTATGACTCATGATACTTTCCATATTAAGATTTTATCAAATTAAGATATCCTTTAATAGTTATTGTACAATTTTTCTATAATTAATCTGGATTATTTTAAATTATTTTTCTGTATTTTAAGAGAATTATAATTTATATGCTTTAATCTGTTGATATAATAAATACGTATTTCTTCCATTCTCTTTAAGAATCCATTGTTTCCAATTAGACCTTGAACATAACAAATTCAAAAACTGTGTATGCTTATGTTATCTAGGGTTGAAGTTCTGTATGCAACCATATTGTCACATAAGCCTAAAATATAAACATCCTCCTCTGTTCCTACTCATGTAAATTTCTTCCTTTGCCTTAAGAGTAGAACAGTGCAAGGAAACTTAAAAAATATGATGGAAAGTGGCTTAGAGCTAGAACCTTATCCCATCCCAATTCACTAACTGGGAATACTATTGTCCATGAAGAGATCTCCTTACTAAAAATTGCTTAAGAATTTAGAAAATTAACAATAGATTAGGAATTGTGTCTGAGTTCCTTCTTGTTGTGAAATATCCATATGATTATAACCACATTTTGGGGGTTGCTGATTCTAGAGTAGTGCTAATGACAAACTAAATTGCGACCTTAGATTCCTTATTTTCCAGACCACATTGATGGAGTTAGACTGCACAGGATTCCATTGTCTGCCTCATGTTTCCTATGCCATGCTAGATTTATTCTTCCAACGTTTTTCATGCCAGTTACCATGTAAAGGAAAAACCGGGCTGATCTAACAAGATAACTCACAAATCTAAGTATTGGAATATTGATCTGAGTTCTGCTAGACTAACTTGTAAATCTAGGTTAATTAGTGTTGGTTTGCTGTTCATGTTTTTTGCTAGCCAGCTGGGTTTTCAAAGATACATATCTGGCTTTGGAATGTTGGTTTGCTGCCTCCCCACCTCCACTTTTGTGATGATAATGCTGCTAAAGCTGTTCCATGCCTATTGGCCGAATACCCCAGGCTTGTACTTTACCCTATAAAACCTCATGTGCACGTCTTGGAGGTGCTCAGAGCTTCGGAGCAGAAGCCCCTCTGAGCCCGTCGCGTAATACATCTGAGTACTCCAACCCTCCGAGTGGTGCTTGTTTCTTAACTGGACTGTCGTTTCCGTAACAACCAAACATATCAGTCCATCTTGTCTTATACAAGTCCGAATATAGAAATAATTATGTTTTTGTGTGTATATCACATGACTAAAAGAAACTTATTTCTGTTTTCACTACAAGATCCTGGCAGAATTTTAGCAATTTGCTTTTAATAAATTGAAAAATTAAGACCTGCTCTCAATCAATTTAATAAATTAGTCTCTAATATTCATATTGGACATTATTTGAACAGCTTTACACTTTTCTCCTCTTTGGCTGTAATGAAAATATATATTTGACTTTTAATTCAATGAGAAATTCAAGCAACTCCTAATATAACCTTGCTAAACTGGTCTCTCATTGATAAATGATACCTTTTAGATACATGATACCTTTTAGAAGGCTAGTGGTTTTAAACATTTGAAAGGCATGGGATCTCAGATTGTGAATAGGTCACTTAGTAATTTGCAATTCTTCACTCTCAGTATCTTTTTCTTAAACTCACACTTCCTTTATTGATGACTACTTTAATACAACAGACCATTTGTCAGGAATTCAAACCATTCTGATAGGAGACAGAATGCTAGGATATCTAAATTCCAATTAAATGCACTGCTGCACTTTATTCCTTTATTTGAGAAGCTAGAACAAGAACCACAGACTGAAACAGCAGCTTGAAAGATGCTTTGATTGATAGGGCATGGTCCTTTTTCTAATTGTTATACATTTAACTGGAATGAAAAGATATTGCAATAGTAATCAATGTTTGCTTGGGAAATGAAATGTACTTAGAAGTGAATGTTATTTAAATGGAATTTTTCAGGAAAGGCATTTGTATATAACTCAGTTTGCTCCTTTTGTTGCTGGAAACTTCAAATGAATTACCTCAGGGACAACAATACTAAGAATATTCATGCAAGGTGAGAATAATTGGATGAGACTTAATCAGTGAGTGAGCTTTCTGAAAACTGATATCAAAAAAGAGAAACTTTTGGATAAAGAATGATAATGATAAAGTATTTAATTTAATGATAATTTATTAAATTGAAGCCTAGTCAATATAAAAATGCAATTAGTTTTGAATATCGATTTCTTTTTTTTTTAAGTTTTTTAACTTTATTTTTTGGGGGGAGGAGATAATTAGATTTTTATTTTTAATGGAGGTACTGGGGACTGAACCCAGGACCTTGTACATGGTGGGCACATGCTCTACCACTGAGCTATACCTTCCCCCTACTTCTCTTTTATTAGCACATGACATGCCTTTATCTTCTTCACTCTACAAAGGAAGTTCACTAAATATAACTGGTAGAACCAGTGATTTCAACAGTACAAAAAATTATGTACAAAGTAAAAGACATACTGTTTTTAGCCTGAGAAATAACTGTACAGAAGACACAGATGGGAAATTCAGACTTAGCTATGTTGCTCAGGAGAGCACTCCTTCTTTAAGAACCCTTTCCATCAACATGACTGTGCAACACAACTGGCTGTCAGAGTCAAGGCAAAGGCGAGTGTGGAAGCAAGCTAAGGCCTGGGGACCACAGTCCAGGCTCTCCTATCTGCTTGGGTGGGGCAGATGGCAGCAGGTAGGTGCACAGGAAGGATGGGGAGGCAACAGCAGGGAGAAGAGGGGAAGGTAGGACAATGTGCTTTCTTCATCTCTCACCCACACCTGTCCCCACCAGGGCCAAGGTCAGGGTTTTGATCACAGTTCTACAAACCAGTGGTTCTTAGAGTGTGGTCTCCTGACTAGGAGCAGCAGCATATCTGGGAAATTTGTTCGCCCCGGACCCACTGACCAAGAAACCCTAGGAGTGGAGTCCAGCAACTGGTGCTTTATGAGGAAACTTGCAGGTGACTCTGAGGCACAACAAAGTCTGAGAACCACTGACTCAGGTGTCTTCTGCTTGAAGACTCACCAGTGAGCATGAAGCCAATTACACCATACATTTATAGGACAGCTCCTGTCTCCTGCAAGTCAAATTACTCCCAGGCAAATCATTAAGAATTACAACTATCCCCCTCTCTTATCATTCAGTCCCAGCAATGGCTGGGACACAACCCTTAGCGAGCCCCTCTGAGGTCACCCAACCCATCTCAGCCCCAGCAGAACCAGAGTTACAGAAGCTTTTTCATCAAAGGTCCTACTTTTTGTCTGTGGGTGTGATGCTGCCATTCACAGCTGTGCTGTCTGCTGCCTGGATGGAGGTGGGCCCAGTCTCCTCTTCACATATTTTCAACTTCTTTGTGATTGCCTGGTAACAGACAGCTGGCTTCTCGGTTTGGCTGAGCAGGAAGTGATGGAAATGAGGGACTGCATCTTTTACAGCCTCGCTAATTGTTGGGTGCCATTTAAATGCGGCCATGGGTCCAGCCATCATCCCCTTCACGGTACTAGACTTGGGGATGGTAAGATTCTTCTCATCCTTTGGGAGCCAACCCCACTTCTGGGGACTTTGCTCCTGGGTTCTTTTTAGAGGGGACTTGGAGCCTCTCTCTGAGGAGCCTGAAGACACTTGCTTCTTTCCTTCTCCCATGTTCTTCTTCACCTTCCGTTCAGACAGACTAAGCTTGTGCTTCTCATCACCTGAGTCTGGCCTACTTCTCTCCTCCCTGGAATTACACCAATTCTTGTCATCAGCTGAATTGTGGGATGATGTCTGGTCTTTCCCTTTGGCTCTTCTGAGGAACTCTTCTATGGCATCCACAGCTTACTGGAATCTCTTCCCCTTGTTAATCTTTATCATCTTCTCCTTATGCACATGATACAGTTTTAGCTGTTCCACTTTGATCCAGGCATGATCTTCTGTTCCAAAAAACTTTACAAAGAAGTGTTTCTTTCCATGCAGCTTCTTTAAGTCCTTGGGTGGGTTAACAATCTTTCCCGGCCAAGGAGGATACCGACCGAGTTTCCCCCACACCAAATCGCCGAGCTGCAGACTCACAGTCACCATCTTACCACCAAACCCATCAATTTCTAATATTTAAAGTAAAAAGAAAATAAATGTAACAAATGGAATACCGCTAATATTTTTAGAGGGTACGTTGGCAAATTTCTGTAGAATAGCTTTGGAAAATTGTTTTTAGTTATCCTTAAAATTTTTTAAATAAAATATTTTAATTACCTCATTTTGAAAAACTCTAGTGGACACAGATCTTAAAGTTCAGTCACACACAACTTGAGATGATCTCCACAGAGCGTGTGGTTCACGTTCCATATGAAGAGATGGACATTGTCTTACTAAAATTTCTTGACTAATAGCAGTTCATAGTTAGAGTGTGCACTCAGCATAACCAATCAGTCCCTACTTCCCCTTCCCGTTCCTTCCTATGTGGACCTATCTTGTAGTTGTGAAAATATCCACATCCATAAACAATAAATCTGAAAGTTGGTAGTGTTTCCAGTGTTACATTTAGCAGTGGATGGCATTTTAATTAGTTCTTCCCTAGGAATATGTCCAAGTGAATTGTCTATGCCTGTTTATAGGTGTGTGTATGTATGTGTAACTTTTTTGGCTTTTTTTCTTCCAACAATTCCAAATAGCAATTTGTTGTTTGAAAGAAGTGGGGAGTAGGCTGGAAGTTCATTTATATTAGATTGTAGTAAGCCCAGGTTTAATATATTACTGATTCAATGCAGTTATAACCAGTTATCCCTATTCAGCTGAACTCTACATGTATATTTACCACCGACATTGTGTCAGATGATTGGTTTTCAAATTGTGTTTCTTGGTGACTGGCAAAACTGACAAATTGTTAATGTTATGGTTCTCTCATTTCTGCATCAACCACAATACTACTTTTATCTACTTCATATGTATAAGGGAGTTTTTTAAAAAGTGTCTAAGCATTTACAATAAGACATGAGAATTATTTTTATTTTATTCTAAAATGGTTTCTATAAATTTTGCCATTATGGAAAGAGCTTATGGAAGCATTGTAGACAGACATACAGTAAGGAAATGCTGACCACAATTGTCCAGGTATTTGTTGCCAAGTGTATTATAATTTTGGTGAAATCATTTTAATATTCTCAAAGTCCTGTTATGTTCTATGGACTGTGATTCTACAGTTTTCATATTTACAATGGGTAACTTTCAAAGTTTTATTCATGTTCTCCCATTTAGAATATACATTCAGATATTGTGATGGCTGAGTACATGCAAATCTTTGTTTCTCTGTATAAAGAAAGAGTATGTACTGGTAGATGTTTCAACTGAAAATTAATATGCTAAATTATTTTCAAAGATAGTCACACTGCAAATTAATGAAATAATGTATGAATGTGAAAAACAATTTGTGTTTTCCAAAATAAAATTCCCAAGAGTTTTTTTCAGAATTATTTTGGATTAAAGACAAGAATAGGTGTTTCCACAGTTTTCAGCAGTCACTTCCATTGGAGCTGTAAGTTTCAAAAAATAACTGATGTCAATTCAATAGCTTTACCTCTTTAACTTTGGCCATAGATTGTTTTGAGAAATATTTAAGTTTTGCATATTTCTTTATTCATAGAAATGTATCATTTATTCAGAAATGAGAAATTATGGCTCTCTTATTTGGCATTATTTTAAATATAATATTTAATGTCTCATAGCATCCTATACTGGTGTAAAATGCTTTGTTTGGAAGTCCTAATAATTTTTTTATGTGAAAATTTGTTGTGGCAAAATCTTGGGTTTGAGTCTCATCTCTGACTTGAATTAATATCCATATGTAACATCATTAGGTCACTAAACCTGCTGAGCCTGTTTTTTGATAAGATAAAAATGTTTTGTTGTTTTTATTTCACTTGATTATTGTGAGGATCAAATAATGCCAATACAAATGACAACTGTTTTCCTTCCTTGAAATCCCGATCAGTATAAATATTCCTAGTATGTCCTATTATTTCAACTAGGAACTCAGATACACACATATAAACATTCCTTTGAATTACAATTACTTTCAAAAGGCCGTGCTAGTTACAAGCATCACATAGATAATTGGAAACTGGTGGTTGCAGCCAAATATGGTTCCCTTTAAAAAGTGGCACTGGCTCTTTTTTCCCTCCTTATGGTGACAGTCCCATGGTGTCTGTTTCTATGTTTGGAGGTGGGGAGGGGAGCGAGGGGAAAACAAGGGACGATTTATCTTAAATGTACTCAACACATAAAATTTTATATTTGATCACCCAGTTATTTTGCATATATTTTACACTCACACCCAGTGTTCAATGAATGTTCCTAGTCTTAGAGTTGCTGATTTTTGGAGAGCATTTCCATTGCATCTACATATTTGAAACTTTATACCACCATGATAGAGGCACTGGCATTAAACTTAGTCCTCCATCTCAGAACTTCCTTTCACTTGAGTTAATTATTCTTAGGAATTCATTGGCATGTGTCCTATACTCAAATCTCTGTTGA